GCCTGTTGAATTAGCAAGCCACGGTCATTTTCGTAGGAAGATCAAAAAGTCTCTTGAAATGCACACAACATAAGAATGGCCAGACTGGGTCAGACCAAAAGTCTATCTAGCCCAGTATTCTGTCTGCCAACAGTGGTCAATGCCAGATGTGCCACAGAGGGAGTGAACAGGAAAGGTAATCATCAAGTGATCTCTCCCATGTCACCTTCTCCCCTGACAAACAGAGGCTAGGGACACCATTCCTTCCTAGCCTGGCAATTAAGTATTGATGGCTCTGTCCTCCATGAATTTAACTAGTTCTTTTTTGAACTCTACTAAAGTCCTGGTCTTCACAACATCCTCTGGCAAGGAGTTCCACAGGTTAACTATGTGCTGCATGAAGAAATACTTCCTTTTGTTTGTTTTAAATCTGCTGCCTATTAATTTCATTTGGCAACCCCTAGTTCTTATGTTATGATTGGTCCTCTTCACTTTTTTATTGCAGAGTAACACAGACTGATCCTTTGCTAAGTGTCCCAGCAAGAATGGCAACACCACCAATGTCAACCATGCTGTATAGCACAGATAACCCAGCCAACATGACCAACTATGAGTACCAATACTTAGAGGAGGAGGATTACATCCAGTTTGTGGTTTGCACAAAGGAAAATGTCCGGGCATTTGGCAAGGTGTTCCTGCCAGTACTCTACACAATAGTGTTTCTGCTTGGATTGACTGGGAACTGTCTACTCTTTGCCATCTTAATCAAATATACCAAGAACAAGAAGATGACCGAGGTGTATCTGCTGAATCTGACTGTTTCAGACCTTCTCTTTGTGATAACTCTTCCCTTCTGGGCCACATACGCAGCTTCACAGTGGGTGTTTGGGAATGCTTTCTGCAAGATCATAAGTATCATCTACTCCATCAACTTCTACAGCGGCATCTTCTTTGTCAGCTGCATGAGTCTGGACAAGTACCTGGAAATTGTTCATGCTTGGTCCAATAAAAACTTAAGGGCCCCAAGAAAGAGCTTCTTTATCTCTTCATTAGTGTGGGTTTTGTCTATTCTCCTGTCTATTCCAGAGTGTATCTTCGTGCAGGTGCAAGATCTCCACAACGGGAGACAGGTTTGCCACCTGAATTATGGCCCGCATCATTTCAACTGGAAGCTTCTCTTTCAATTTCAGCAGATCCTGCTTGGCTTCTTCCTTCCATTCCTTTGCATGGTGTTCTTCTACTCCCGCGTAGCTTGTGTCCTCACCGAGTTAAGGTCCACTGGCAAGAAGAAAGCGCTTCGCCTGGTCGTTACTCTGGTGGTAGTTTTCTTTGTGCTGTGGTTCCCGTACAATGTTACCCTCTTTCTGCATTTGTTGCAGCACCTCCATGTGATTAAGGATTGTGAAACTAGCAAGCACTTGGACTATGCTCTGCAAGTGACCGAGTGCCTTGCCTTTATTCACTGCTGCCTCAACCCCTTGCTATATGCTTTTGTGAACAAACGGTTCAGGTTACACTTAAAGAAGATTTTTGGGGCTGTCTTTAGGCAGCAGGATTTCTTTGTTCCTCAGGTGCCAGAGACAAATAATTCTTCTAGTAGGTCCACCGACCAAGTAGAAATGACCAACTTTACAACTCCGTAATGAATATTTAGAGAATTTCATTGATGCACATGCTTTATTATCACATAGACTGCTGTTTCCAGCAATGGAGGAATGTATGGATATAGTAGCCCAGTGTCGGTGCGTCTGTAACGCTGACATACATGGCCACGCCCCCTGGATGTGTACGTCACCACCCCGCCCCCCTTCTCCTCCCTATGTGGCCTGCTGTGGCACTCCCCCAGGGCCCAGCGGTGCTCAGCTGGGCCCCGGCAGGGCAGCAAGCAGTGGCAAGAGGCCCTTTGCCACCACTTGCTCCCCTGCCGGCAGCGCGCCACGGAGGGAGGGAAAGGTGGGTGGGGTGCCATGAAGGGAGGGGAGGGGGCAGGACTGGCCGGAAGGG